CCCCCCCCCCCCCCCCCCGCCCCGCCCATACATACATACATACATCCATGCATACATACAGACAGACAGACATACATAACAGCCCATTAAGAGAATTTTCTGGAGACTTGGTTGGTCTAAAGTTGCGTGACCCAGCCCTAAAGGCTCCCAAGTCAAATGGTCAAGTGACTTTTTAATTCTGGGGATGGACTGTAAGCTGTCCTTATGGGAAGTTTCCAGACGACAGCCCACTTTTGCTGTGTCACAAACCAGCATACGGTCCTTTAAATTCCGCCTCATCTGTAGGAAGATGCTCAGAGAGAGAGAGGACATGGTCAATATCTCCATGGCTCTGCCTTTGCGCACGTAGCTGTTGTCTCGGCGGTGCAGTGTTTGTACTCTGGTAATCCTATCCTCTGTTCACAGCACTGTATACACAATGGGCTGGAGCAAGACCTACAGGTCACTGGCGAATAGACATATAAATCTCAAGTAAACACACACCCACATACATACATACCTAGAGACTAATGCTTGTGCGTCAACTACGACCTGCAAATCGGGGATAATAGGACTGCACTAAAGGAATCTTATGCCAATGTTAAACCTGAATTGTCTTGGCTCTTGTTACCCTATAAATATTAGTCTTAGCTGCCAATGTACCATACACATTAATGCAAATATTATGTTCATTTCACTGAAGTCCTCTGCTAATGCACTGAATGGGTTTGCTGTGTGAGGGGGAGGAGTCCTTTTACAACAAAAATCCAGATATAGACTCAGGTACAAAACACAGCAGGAGAACAGGTTGGCGTAAACACTGTTTGCATATACACTATTTGGCTAAAAGTATGTGCACGCCCCTTTTAATTAGAGGAACTGGCTAATTAAACCACACCCTGATGGTCTATAATTAAGTGTATAGCCATGCAATCTCGAGCTATAAACAGTGGCAGCAGAATGGGCGCTGTACAGAAGAGGCTAGCGACTTGGCACCACCCTAGGATGCCATCTTTCCAATAAGTCAGTTTGCCACATTTCTGCCCCGCTAGAGCCGCCCTGGTCAACCGCACATGAACTGACTGTGAAACATGTAGATGCAAGTTCAACTGGCAAATAGGTTCAGTTGCCAACTTGAATGACAGCAAATCCCACCAGCAATGCTCCGCCATCTAACATAAAACTGTCCCAAACAAGAAGAGGCTATTATTCTAACGAAGGGCAGAAAATTACTTTTGGCCATATAGTAAATATATGTGTAGTTTTCAATGAAAAACCCAGTCCTGAAGCCTTATCAGAGCTGTTTCAAGTAATATCTTCATCACTATCAATTCATCCCAGCTGTCCTTTATTCTGTCATGTCAGGATAACAAACACCAGTTGGGCAGCAGTTGCATGGTCGCTAGCGCTCACCATCTGGTGCAGCCAGTTCCGACCCTGTGCTGGACGCTATGCGCAAACAACATGGCATATATTTCCCAAAAT